TTGGTTTTTGGTTTTTCTCCAGTACCGGGAACCGAACTCACGACCTTGCGCCTGCCAGGCAGGCGCTTTTGCCGCTGAGCTAAATCCCCAGCCCCTTTTTTTTTCTCTTTAAAATGAAAGAAAAGAAAGAAAGAAAGAAAGAAAAAGAAATAAATTCTCAGCCCGGAACATAACGGGTATACAGTAAATACTTGTTGAATTTAATTAAAATCATGTGAGTGTTATGGTTTACATCTAGATGTGCCTCTCAAGCCTCATGTGCTGAGGCAGGGCTTTTGAAAAGTGACTGAATCACAGGCCACTAGAGCTAAGAGTGGTTGGGCCGGGGGGGTGGGGGGACCTGGGCAGAAGAGGTGGGTTACTGGGGTGTGACCCAGAAGGGCATCTCTCTCTTCTCTTACTTCCTGCTCTCCATGACCTGAGCAGCTTCCCTCCACCAGGCCCTTCCACCATGCCTTCCAATGCAGCTGGACAACTTCAGTGGTGACGCACACCTGCAGCCCTAGCACTTGGGAGGCTGAGGCTGGAGGATCACTGTGAGTTTGAGGCCAGCCTGGACTACATAGTAAGACCCTGTTTTTAAAAACCAAAAAATTAAAATAAAAAATAAAATATACCTGAGCCAAAATAAACCTCTGATCTTTTATGTTGGGGGTGGTGGTTATAGTGTCCAGGCCACAAGAAAGTGATTAAGACGGTGTCATTGCAAATGCTGTCCTTAGGCATTCTGTACTTATGGAGCTGAAAAATGAATTTGAGCGGGTTGGGGGAGGAAGGGAGAGAAAGAAAAGAGGAAAAAAGGGAGAAGGACACATCCAAATGTTTTCTGGTTGCTTTAGAAATAAGGAAAGAAAAAAGAAAGAAAGAAAGAAAGAAGGAAGGGCAGTGCCCTTCTGTGGAGAGCCATCCGCAGACAGCCCTGACACTGTCCTTCTGAAGGGCAGGTTCAAGCTGGACCCGGAGCTGTGTCCCTGAGCAGGAGTGGGCCGGCCAGGAGTGCAGCTGCAGCTTCCTATGTCTCAGTAGGAGGAGCCCTGGTGCCCCTGCAGGACATCCTCCGGTCGCTGGGGCCCAGTGCTGGCCTGAGTGGGACCCCCGAGGGCAGGTTTATCTGTGCTTGCAGCCCCAGGACCCTGGGGTGCACCCGACAGCCAACCGTCCCAGAGCCCTGTGTGCTTTGCCGTTGAGCATCACCTCCTGCCTCATCTACGAGCATGGGGTTCAGATTGTGTCTCCTGGAGGTCACCATCTCATGCTGCCCCGCTGTCATGGGCGCCTCCCTAAGCCACTGTCACTTGCTCCCGCTGTCATGGGCCATTCCCTGAGCCATTCCCTGGGGAACTCAAGGCTGTGAGGCTGTTGCTGCCACCACTGGTGCCCTCTGCATGGGACTCTGGGACCAGCAGGCCAGGGGCCTCCAGGTCCAGAAGTTCCCCCAGCTGCCTCGCCAGGCCCTCTGCAGCCCACCTCTGCCCGGGGCTTCCTGAGACCCAGAGGGAGCCTCCCTTGCACAGCCTGCCGAGTGTTGAGGAGATCAGCCCTGAGCACCCCAGCCAGCCTGTGGTCAGCTGGGGATCCTGCAAGGCTGTGGAGACCCAGAGGAAGGTCTGCAGGTGGGGCCAGGTCAGCAAAGGAAGCCTTAAGCACTGCTGTCCTAGGAGGTCCCAGTGCTCAAGAGAAGGAGGCAGAGCCCCACGCCAGCCCTCTGCGTTCAATTGGTGGAGTGTAGAAATGGAGTAGCCAACATCTTCATGCCCAGGATGTGTGCAGGGGGCGACAGACACATACCTGCCCTTTAGCCCAGCAGGGGCCTCAATGTCTGCTGCCTGACCTCTGCCAGCCCAGGACAGGGTCTCTGCAGAGCGCCTGCTGCCCAGCTGGGAGCAGCACCCTGCTGCCATCCTCCTGGGGCCTCAGGCCCTTCTGCCCTTCCCAGGAGCTGCCCCAGGCCTGCCATCCCCCCATCTCCGCACCTCAGCTCCGCACGGTGAGAAGCCCGCCCTGAAGAGACTCGGCTCACTGCCACTTCCTGCACTACCCCTGCCAGCCCATCCCGGTCTGCTCCCAGGCCAGACTCAGCTAGAAGGCTGGCTTATCCCCTGTGGGCCCAGGAGCAATAGCTACTTCAATATTCTTCATTTATGGAGTAAGGATATTCATTATCATGGTAATAAAAAGAAGTTTGAATTTTAAAAAAATGAATTCTTGATTTCTTCAAATTAGGAAAGCCTATGGAAAAAGGTACATATAAACTCTGTGAGGGCAGGGACCTTGTCCTAGATCCCATACCAGCACCTGACACGTAGCAGATATTCCCTAAATATTTGTTAAATGTTGAAGCCAGGCATGGTGGTGTACACCTGTTATCTCAACACTTGGAAGGATGAGGCAGGAGGATTCAGAGTTCGAGGCCAGTGTGGGCTATATAGTGAGTTCAAGGTCAGTCTAAATTACTGCATAGTGAGGCCCTTTCTCAAGAAACAAAACGAAGCAAAAGAGTTGAATATGTGTTCTTACTTTTTGCTTTGCTGAGACAAAATTCCCAAAACACAAAGTTAAAGGAGGAAAGGTTTACTGTAGCTCACATTTTGTAGAGGTTTCAGTCCATGGTCAGCTGTCTCTAAGGCAGGGTGGCACATGGCAGAGGAACATTATAGGGAAGAAACACCTCATGGTATGGCAGGGCAGGCAGAAGGCAGCAAGGAGTAAAGCTACCTTCCCTCTTTCCCTTTATATTCCATCCAGGCTGCAAGCCTATTGATTGGTGCCACCCACCCTCAGGGTGGGGCTTCCATTATCCACCCCCTTAAACCTAGCATCACACCCTGAATCCACATCCACACACCCTTACCCAAGCCACCATCTTCACCTATGATGACATGAGGCTTTGGGGGATATCTAGGTACAAACCGTAACATGTTCTAACCTAAAC